TATGTGATGAAGGTGCACGTTAAGACGGGAGTTTCGGGAAATTCCACCCGCATGTGTGGAAAAATGGCGAAAAATCGTTGTATGTAACTTTTTTGCTTACCATCCGATCGGCCATTTTCAAAGAACTTTGTTCAAATTCATTTGAGAGGTCTTCCACACTTTTCGAAAAATGCATTCCTCCCTGGTGGAAATGGGGGTCAAAGATTTGGTGCGTGATATTGTTCCTCGGTGGAAAGTGCTATTTAAAGATTTTTTGGGGAAGTTTTCGATTTGTCCGATTTGCTTCAAACTTATTTTCAAAGCGCGGTTGTTTGGAAGTTTTCAAGCTCATTTTTTTCAAAGATCTATGAGCGAATTTATTTTATGTGTGCAACGGGCAAGGCCGGGTTATATCCGCTAGTTAACAATAAGAGCACAATACAACACAATATATGGGAACAATGCAAATGATGAAAGAATGAATGAATGAATTCCATGTAAATTTTCATTAATCTCAAAAACACCTGAATTCCCAGAAAGATGCCAGGTATTTAATTTGGTATATTGCGAATTTTCATTATTGTCAAACAATAGCCCGATTCTCAGAAGCATGCACAGCATGCCTTTCTTAAGTTTTTGGAGAAAACAGTGCGAAAGTGTAGAGTGTTCCCGCTCCTGGTCCCGCTCCTGCTCCTGCTCCTGTTGTTGTTTCATTTTGTCCGAGTCTGTCATTTTATGGCTTGTTACTTACCCGATTATTCATATGTATATATACCTCTTTTTTGTTTTGTTTTTTAGAAAACTTTTAGATGCAGTTATGGGAGCAGGGTGCAAAATGCTGCGGCTTGTTGTGGTTATTTTGGGTGCCATGCGGCCAGCTTAATGTAGAAGAGTTTAATGTAGAAATATACGTTTTATAATTGACTTTCTTGTTTGGACGTTGTGAAGTATGATTGCAAAAACAGAAATGGAATAATAACATAAATGAATGAACGCTGTGATTACCTACAGAAAAGGCAATGGGATTGTATTTCCTGGAAAGCATTCGAGAAACGTGCAAGAATTGCATTTTGAGGGGGTTTGACGATGTGCTAGCTTGAATAGTGCAGCAACAATTGAAGCAATTAACAAGTTTGCAGTCGGATAATATCGACTGTTCATTACCCTGTTTCCAGTTTGTCCCTTTGGGACTGATGGCGGTGCATACTCTTCTGTCCTTCCAAAGCGAGAAGTAGTTGATGGCAAGAATCGCTATTCATTGAACGATTATTTGTGGTCAATTTACAATTTAAGTTCTGGCAAAATGAAAAGCCAAAAATCATTAAATCAATTGCTGCAGCTTTAGTTGTTGTCACTGTTATTGCAGGAACTGCTGCTTTTGCTGCTGTTGCAATTGTTCCCTTTGTTGTCTGCAGCTGTTGAAACTGTCCTTTGTGCCTGTCCAGCTGTCTGCTGCCGTTTGTGCTAGCACGGCCAGTGGCAGTTGCTTTGCTTAGTGGCCGTCACCAGTCGCAATTTGATTTGCCCGCCAAATGGCCAAGCAGTCAGTTAGTCGGGCAGTCAAACGATTTAAGCATTGCCGGAACACTGCAGACAAATAAGTAGTATATATTCAAGCAGCCTTTAGTGGAGTCGGGCGACATTTTAAGCAGCTTAAATCCAGCGCACTCAGCCGGAGACAAGTGCATAAAATAAAATGGCAACATCTACTGCATTGTAAGCGGAGCTACAGCAACAGCTGCAAGGACGAAGGATGCGGATGTCAACTGAAACGGTTGCCATGCTAAATCGTTGCATTTGCATTTGCCTCGGCCCAGTCTTTCTCACTTGGCTTGCATTCAAACAGCATGCAATCCATTTCAAATTTTTAAGCAACTTGCCATGGAAGAGACTTGGGCGATATTTCATGACCAACTATTTATCTATTCAAGTTGATAAAAACCGCCGCTATTTTAAGAGGGAATACTCGCGAGCCTGACTGGCTTGTAGGAAAACTTTCTTTCTTTCTTTCTTTCTGTCATGTGGAAAATAGTTTCGAATTGGGGCATACAAATCCGGAGTAAACATGCCATAGCTCGCATCGGATGGGCATTTGATATGCTTGTCAAAGACTCAATTTCTTTTTCCTTCTTTTAAAACTTCCACATACATCATGTACATTAATATCTTCTCGCCAAAGACCTTGTTCAAGAGCCTAAGCCCAATTGATTTCTCTGGAGAAACAACGCCCGTTTATCTACCATCTGCCGGCTTATGACATGATTTCTCAGGAAATGGATAAGTCTTCTGGGAATCACAATTCACCAGCTTGGCGCACTTGACAGCAAGCGATCATTGTTGGTTCTGCGAAAAAGTCCTAGAGTGTTGTGTGCGCGTGTGCACTTAGGGTTAACAAAAGTTTTGAAATTTAAATTTAATGTACATTTGTTTCGCCACCGTCAAAGATTTTCAATTATAATTAAGCAGAGGTTCTAAGGTTGCATACATCCCGTTGTCAAGTGTTTTAAATAAAATTAGCGAAATTCCAATCGCAGCGCCAATGTGGCGTATGTGCAACATAGTTGACGGCCTTACACAAATCGCCACCAAATAAAAAAATATTATGCAATTGTTTTAATTGGCCTTTAATTTCCTGTAATCATTTTATGCATTGCATTTTCCGCTTTAATTTTTTACCCTTTTTTATACCCTTGCAGAGGGTGATATCATTTAGTCTCGAAATGTGTAACGTATTGATAAAGACATCTCCGACCCCATAAAGTAAAAATTAAGTTGTTGTATGGAAAACTTTTTTGTTTTTCGAGACCAAACTCGGCATTAACCATTTTCCCTATGCTTCTTAGTTACGAGCAAAGCATAATGAGCATTATGAAAAGGTTCGCTCTTGCAAGGGTATTAGGTCTTCGGCGTGCCGAAGATAGCTCTTTTATCTCGTTTTATGTTTAACTTAGCATTAATTGGCTTAATATTAATAGTATGAAAAATAAATAAAATACGATTTATGTTTCACATTTCAAACAAACCGAAATAAATCACCTGATGACAGAAGCAATTGCAAAATAATGTTCACTAATTATTATTAACCACGAAAAATGAATAACATTTATGATTATTGTGAAAAGCTGGCTTGATCGTACTATGTACATACAATTACTTTACACAAATATGTTTGTTTAACAATTGCTTGCCAGCTGAATAAACAACGCATCGCTGCACAGTTGTTATCAAATTAACGAGTGCTCAATGATTCAAAGGGAACCGCAACTAAGTCCCCTTGGCAATGCGAAGGCCGCTTCATATTATTGTAACCACAAAATGCTTTAAAACGCTTCAGCCTTGAATGCGCATTATTATTAACTCGGCTTATAATGTCATTTTAATATACATACTTATATTGCACAATTAAAGTGGAGGGTAACATACAGTTGCGAGAGTTGGAGGAGAGGACACCTCCGATTCGATCCGTTTCGACTATAAATTTAATTTATCACAATAGTAAATTCCATTCAGAAGTGTGCAAATACGAATTCGATTCGGGGAAATTAAATTTATCACAATAGAAACTCCTTTCATTCATCGAAAAAATGGGTGAAAATCTGAGAATTGATATTATATTGTTATATTTCCATATACATGAAGCTGGGTCAAATCATGGTTAGTCATAAAATTTAATGTACAATTTAAGTTTTTATTGAGAATCGCCCGTTCTACTGAAATTATTGCTAGCCATAAATATTCTCATTTAGAATTCGCGGGCTAAATTGGCTCTCGACCCAAAATTGACATCTTCCAAAAATGGCTAGATATGCGCAATGATTGGGACCCAAGCTATTCATGTTTTGGCGCTGAGACTCGTTAGTTTTAGCACTAAGGCTTTTCGAAATAAATTTACATCTAAGTAAGCCATAGATAAATTATTTGCATTCCCGCAATGCCTGCTATTGATTATTTTCACATATGGGATTTAAAGTGATATCAATCGTTTTGGGTACGTCTGAGGTCAAGTTCTTCCGCGTCTGCCTCCGTCCTGGCACAGTAAATCTCACACTAAGCTGCAGTATTGGTCGTGGCGGAAAAGTCATTGGCCAACAAACCATAAAAAACATTAATTACTTTTGTATTCGGAAACTGTCAACGGCAACGGCAATCAACTGGCAAATTATTGGCAGGCGGCCACTTTAGCAGCTGGAGCTCTGATCCACCGCCGGCAGTTGCCGGCAGAGGGTTGTGGCCCGGGCGATTAGATGAGCTAATATACCATAAATACTTTGGCTGATTTATGCTCCAGACCCTGCTCGACTGAGCAGCAGCAGCAGCAGCCCAACTGGGATGCCCCAGTTGGGGCCCGTGCATCATAAGGGCATTTTACGAGCACATAAAATACAAAATCGCTGAGACTCAACATTGACTCTGCCTGCTGCTGCCCCACCCCCTCCTTCACTTCGTTCCATTCCCTTTGCTCTCTCTCCCGTGCTCTCTCCTAATGCAGCCCATTCAATTAGCGTCCCTGTTTGTAATTGTTCCGATTTCGTTAAAAAAAATGGTTATCGATTTGTATTTAGCTACATTGAAATATTTGTGCTTCATTGCGTTTCCATTCCCCGTACCACAAATTTACGATTGAGGATATTGTGTAATATGGACAACTTTAAGTTGATGATTGTCAATTAGAGCAAATTGAGCTTTAATTAATTACTCGACTATGAAATTCGATTGCTTTTGATTCTTTTTCGATAGTTATTTAAATTGGTTTATGACTGAGCAACTTTGGAGCCCACAAGATATATATTTCGCGCTCCTCTCGTAGCTTATAATTCTCAAGTGGTTATAGCTTATACAAAAATGTGATTAGATGCTTTCACCGAAACAAAATTTTAATAAAAAGATAGAAATTAAAAAATTAATTAAAATTAAAGTTAAAATTGACTAATCCCAGCATGGAACATTAAGGTAGTCTGATTATATACTCATTCGCTACGGGTGCATCAGAAAAGGGATCCACTTTATAGCGATGGCAGCCGCCTTGTTGTTGCACGAATGTTGGCAGGGATTTGGCTGGCTAGTTGGTTATCTCCAGCTCCGCATTTGAAAAAGACGGCGTCCAGATGTGCGCAAGAGAACAGCAAATGGGCCTAAACGGCATTCAGCTTGGCCCAAACCCTGAAACATTTGAAATATGAATTTTCGAAATATTTTAACTCGCAATTACAGCTAATTACTTGCGTTCATTAGACAGACAAATGCAAATGCTGCAAAATGCTGATCGCCTCCACCTCCACCTCCACCGCTTCGGCATTTCCCTTCTCCGTTCACCATAACTGGAATGTGGTGCGGCTTTCTTTAATGTGAGTAATTTTAATTGAATGCCAATGGAAATTAAAGGTTTATTATAAAGCTGCCAACTATAAAGGAAATTAAAAAGACTTTAAAAGAAACATCAAATACAGAATATTCGTTGCCCTTAGGGCATATGCAATAGCTGAACAGATTTTTCATTTGTCTTAATTAAGAATTTCAGAAACTGAGGTAAGGTTTTATAAGTTTCCTACTAAATGTATTGCAGTAGTTCCTCGTACATTGTGTTTATATTCAGAGCATAAGAATTAAATGGCTTACGTCTCGTTTAGCCCAAAGAAACTCGGGCTGGCTGCTGCCTGGGCTGCTGTTTGGTGTCGAATAGACTCAAGGACTCTAAACTCTTTGCAACCGAAGTGCGCTTCAGCTTGCACTTCCAATTTCAATTTAAGTCCGCCAGAGGCTACGGACAGCAAGAACTTGCCAACAGTTAACGGCTTGCTCTTTGCCCACGCCTTTCTTTTGCAGACGATGTTTACGATTTCGTTTGAATAACTCACCTATTTTCCACCCACCTACCCTTACCTACATTACCCACCCACATAAGTTCCTAGTTACACAAAGTTTTCCACAGAGTTCTTTCGTTCAGCTACTGCAGCTCCTTCCTACATAGCATGAAAATATTCTTTGTCGTTTTCGGGACGGACTATGAACGAGCTATGCGACTAGCAGGCTTTTTTGCTGCCAGAGCAAATAATGCGAGTGCCCTGAACCGTGTAAGTAATGGACAAGGAGTGAGCAAGGGGCGTGCTACTGTGTACTGTCCACTACCCCCAATCTCGACTTATGGTCCGCGCTCCTCTGGCTAGGTTTTTAATTTCTAGTCTTGATTTGGTATTGAGCGAAAGCCTGTATACCATATAATTACTGTAAGCATGGGGTATAAACATTTCAACATCTTTTAATTTAAGGTACATACCATATTAATGTAGACTGGGTTTCGTCATCCTCTAGAAGAGTAAAATTTTTTAAAAGAATACCTATACATAAAATTTGTAAGTTCTTAGCCAAAATATTTTTGCATAATTTGATGCAGTTTATATGTGTTGTATATTATATAAATTTAATCGCCCTTTGCTGGATGTTGCTGTTGCTGCTGTTGTCTGTGTAGCTGGCGCCTGGCTTCTTCGATTTCCAGGATACGTTGCAGCTCAGTATCCTCCTCCTTGGACTTAGCGATTGGTTTTGGCTTCTTTGGCCTCTCCTGCGACAGGGCGAGCAGCGTTGCCTTCGGAGAGAGGACTTCGTAGGCCACCTCTGCCATCATATTGAAGAGCGTTTGTGCACGCAGTGTTACCATAACGGATCGAATGCATTTCGTGAGCATGGTTGGCATTTGTGTCAGCTCAAAGGCATTGTCTATGTAGCGTATGTTCGGCTTGATGCCAGGAAATAGGTCAGCGAATATGTTCAACTGTTTTGAAAGCAGCCCCACGGATAGAACGAACTCGTTGCGATCATCGAACATGTAGCATTCGCATCGACAGCGTGGATCGATTGTCGGAGATTTGCCGGCCCAGTAGCTCTCGGTCCTCACGTACATCTTGATTTCCAGCAGCTCGGCAATCCTGAAGAAGGTCAACAGTTGCCTGTTCTGCGGTATGGCCCGCGCGTTTATATTTTCAACGAGCCTGGCCAGATTGTCAAATGCCTGCTTGGCGGTCATGCGGCCTAACTTTTTCTGCAGCTGATCGTAGGCACGCTTCGAGAAATTGGGGGGCACCTTTACCGGTTCCATCAGCCGTTCAAAATATGATGATCTAGCTCTTATGATCGATTGCGAGCAATCAAATTTCAGCTTTGACAGCTCGGATGGGATATAGATGGCACCCTCGGACTCGCACAGCGCGTGCGGCTTCCACAAGACTTTAACCCCATCGGATTTCACCTTGGGTGGCTCCTCGCGTGGCATTTTCTTCGCCAACTGGGCAGCGTCTTTGCTGGGCTCTACCTTAAAATTGACGCGACGCTTCGAGTTCAGGCCTACACAACAATTCCACAGCCGCTCGCGCTGATAAAGCATCTCCCTATCCAGCTGGGGAATAAATATTTTTCGTTTGGTTGAAGCCTTAGGCTCACGGTTGTTGTCGTTGGGCTGTGGCGGTTGTGACGTCAGCTCCGGAGGTTTCATGTCCTTACCGTTGGCAATTGATTGTCCTTGTTTGAAGCGCTGCTGCACATAGCCAAGATCAGTCGTATTGGTGTTCCTTTCCTTGTCATCCTGCAGATTGAACCCGTGTGGCAAGTCCCAGTCCTTAATGGACAGCACGCTGCTAAACACATCCTGTTCCGGCGGTAGGACGGCATTAAGACCTGCTTTAGGGTATGGATTAGAGTAAAAACATGAAATGTAGCTGGTCTCGACCGAGGCGGAGCTTTCCTTTTCTGAAAGCTCTTGAGCCATTCCATCAGCCCTTAGATCACAGTTTGAGAAAACCGAGTCCCCAGCATGCGTATAGGCATTTGGGAACATAGGTTTAATAACGTTGCTGTCGATGGAAACTTGCGATTCAGCATGCGGTTCCATTGGTCCCTTTGCGATGGAATTCCTGGCTGCCAATGGAGCCCTAATCATAGATACGAAACTGTTGCTCGTGACCGGCGATGGTGAGCGTGTGCCCCGCGGAGTCTGATACTCCAATTCGCTACTGACGATGGAAGCTTTCGAGTTGATCCGAGTTGCCACTGGAGTCCTATTCAAGGAACATTGGCTCTCCTTCGTGATAGGCGAATTGGAACGAATTTTCGCAGCATCGTTGCCGTCGTTGCGATTCCTTAACGGGGACCTCAATATGGAATTGCTGCTGTCGGTTGTAAGTGGCACATTGGAGCGAGGCTTCATTAAAGTTCTGATATTCAGCTCGCTGCTTTCGTTGGAAAGGAACGAATTGGTACGTTTGCCCAAGGCATTTCTCTCCTTGACATTGCCGCTTTCGTTGGACGCCGGCGAACTGGAACGATTCCTCGCCAGCGCCGAGTAGGTTCGATTGTTAAGTAGAGGCTTGTGCTCGGAGCTGCAGCTGTCGTTAACCGGCGAACGGAAACGCGATTCCAACGAAAATTTCCGCGTGACGTCGTCCGTGGGCTTGCTTACCGGCGAATTGGTACGACTTCTCAAAGCCAAAATGGGACGATTTATAATGAGATACCGTGACTCTGTATTGCCGCTCTCGGCTGTGACCGCTAGATTGGAGCGGGTCTTGAAATCACCGTCGCCACGGCGCGAGCTCTTCTGCTTTGCCGCAAGACGTCCATCCACGCTGCTAGAGACGATTGCTACCGGCGAATCGGAACGACTTAAAATTGCCGAATGCGACCGATTCCTAATCTGTGATCTTTGTACCAAACTTGTGCTCCCGTTTGGTACCGGCGAATCGGAACGGCTTCTCATTACCGAGTGGGTGCGATTCCTAATTAGCTCTCCTTGTACTGAACTAGTGCTGTCGTTGGCAACTGCTGAATTGGAACGACTTCGATCTGTCGGATGGGTATGATTTTTTTCCAGCGACCTATGTTCGGAACTGTTTTTCTTCATCTTTGGCTTAGGATCAATGGAAACGTGCGGTTTGCTGCGAGCTTTCGGGCTGGGACTGTTCTTGTCGGTTTCATGCGAATGGTCATGAGTTTTCAGCCGGAATTTAGTTCTGTGATTGCGATCTTTGGCGGCCACTTGGGGCTGAATACGCGTATTCACTGAAGCTCGTGGTATTTCATTGCTACTGTCGGGGCTAAAGGGAGCACGTAAGCGCTTCTCCAATGGGTTCCTTCGGTTGGATGATGTATTCTCTTTGGTGGCCTGCAATTGGGGACGAGCTCTTATTGAAGTTTTCGATAAGCGATTGCTATTTCCGACTGGCAAACGTGAGAATGATGTTCCCACTAGAGTCTTCTGCTTCATCGAATTGTTCTTGTGGGCGATATTCGGCTGCGGACGTGAGAGGCAATCATGTCGGACAGGCGTAGGACGCTTTTTAGGATAAGCCTCAGTCGCTGCCGGCGAATCGGTACGCGTATTTTTCTTGATGTCCTTAGGGACCTTTTCTTTTTTTTGGGGCTTACAGTGCCGGTATCTAAGGGTTATATTGTTTCCCGCATAAGATAAACGGACAGATCTGGAAGGTTTTTGCTGAAATACTTCAAAGATTCGGCTCTTAACTTCTGTTCTTTTAAATGCATGCTCCAGCTCAAGATAGTCCGAGCTGTATATTATGGAATAGTTGTCGGTCCTCTGGGTATACACAATTAGATCCTTTTCGTCGGTGGTCAGGCTGGTTACACCCAGATGTCTTTCGCCATCGATTGCATAACCATGGACGATGTGCTTCTCCGTTGTCGTTGAAGTGGGCGTTATCACAAGCAACAAATTCTGTAACTGTTGAATGCCAAACAGTTTGTTCACAACACTATCTGCATTGGGCTCTGAGTTATGATCACAAGTTAGCTGGGGCCTTACAAAACGTTTTGTCACCTCGAAGGGACGAACCCTGAGTACTCTGGTAACATAGCGACCGGGAAAAGTTACTGTGTCAATTCTGTCGAGTATCCCGGTATCAGACGACAATATTCTGGAACTGCAGCCAGGGCTTGTTGCTTCCCTGTAGATCATTCCCAAAATATCTTCGACGTCTTTACGCGCTCTCTTTTGTTTTCCTTGTCGGCTAGCGCCCTGTAAAGATTTTACACGGTCGCTCTCGTCACTCATATTAAAAACCAAGTTTTTATTCCAGCCGAAATAGAAAATGTACCAGAAATAAAAGTTTCTTATGTGTTTTACTTTTAACTTTTTGGATCCAAAAATTTAGGAAAATTAAAATTCGTCCGACTCGAGTCAGTAACAAGTTAAAACTAAAATAAAAATTCCATTTGCCTTCCTATACACATCCTAAGCGACGTTTAAGTCAGGGAAGACTTGACTTCATCGCGTTCGCCTCTTTGAATTTGAATCAGGAAACGGTATTTAATAGGCGGACATTTTGTATAATAGAAAAAAAAGAAAACTTCTCTGAAAAGTTGTCACTAGAGAGCCGTTTTGAATCTTTTCTTTTCGGACTAGACTTTATTGTCTTTTTTAAATCACATACAGTTTACTACAAATTTTACATTGGGTTAGTTCGGTTCAAGTTCACAATTATAAATTGTTTCCGGTGGAATTTGTGTATATCAATTGACATTGGGTTAATGTTAATATAGAAAATAAAAAATAAATGATAAAATACCAAAAAAATAACCATATGCTAGGTCCTGTTATATATTGTTTTCGTATTTCCAACAAGTCTTTTTATATAGACAGCTTTCTTAGTTGTCTGAGCATTAGCTGTTGTAACATATTCCGAAGAAAATAGGACTAAGTTATTTATATTCCAGTAGACTTTGGGTATCAAAGGCTGTGGCTAAATGGAAGCACGTCGTCTAGAGCGACAGCGCCGGGACTCGGCCAAGAGCAGTGCCGCAGAAACGCTGCCGTCGACGAAAGACGAAGAGTTCCATATACGACTCATCGAATTATATGGCCAGCATCCATGCCTGTGGAAGACGTCGCTGAGCGAGTACGAAGATGCAGAGCTGAAGCGTCAGGCCTGGCAAGATATTAGCGGCCAACTGGGCGCCCATCTGACACCCTCCTTTGTGCGCAGTCGCATCAGCAGCATGCGCTACCGGCTTAACGTGTACAAACTGCAAATGCTTGAGTATAAGATGAGCCCCGCCAGCGGCAAGCAGCCCGAAAAGCTCTACTACATCGATAAGTTTGCCTTCCTGGACGAGGCGAGCAGCTCGCAGCAGCAGCATCAATCAGACGCTGAGCAGGCAGACGATGGAACCGACTTGGATGCCAGCAAGTCCGATCTGAGCATTGCCAGCATATTCAAGCAGCGCATGCAACGGCAGCAGCAGCAGACGGAGCAGTTGCCTCAAGTGCTGCAACGCCTGAGCCAGAGCGATCGCTCTGAAGGAGCTAAGGACATGTCGCCGGGCAATCTGGATGACTTTGCGGAATTCAGCATTGCCAGTGTTGTGAAGAAGCGTATGCAGCAATCGCTGCAGACGCAGAATAGGATCATTCCAAAAGTTCCCGACTCACTCTTGAATGCACGCCGTCTGTTACAGAAGGTGCAAAACAAGCAATCAGTTGGCGATCACGTGCACGGTGCAACCGGAAACCCCAAACAGAATACTCAGGCTCAAAATCAGGATATTGATAGCATGCTGAAGCAGCGTATGCATCGGCTGGGCCTTGCCGAGCAGGGCCGGGAGTCGGCGGGCAGCTTGGAAAGTTTTGCTGACTTTCGCGGATCTCTCGTCAACATTCCGAGTGTTGTCAAGAAGCGTATGCGACAGCAGTTGCCGATGGGCATGGCGCGCAACATGGAACCGGAGAAGTTCACCCCAAAGAGCTTCCTCCAAAAGCCGGAGTCAGTGTTGACCATACCACCGACCTCGGCCACGCTGCGCGCACAGCCAGGCGATTCGGTGTCCACAACAAAAGTGTCCAAGCACCCGGGTCAGCCCAAGCCGTCAGACTCCGAGGATCAAATGTCAGATGAGGAAGAATTTTATCGCTTACACTGGAGCGTGCGTCAGCAGCAGCGTTCTCATCGTCCAGCCGGAATGGCCACCAACCGTGACCTCATACCGCAACCCGTGCCGCCTCTGTTGCTTGGCATGCGCACCACTTCGAACATGGAGAGCGCTCACGATACAAAGACCTAAGCATACACATAGCCCACATCATCAACACCAACCGTGCACACCATCTTCACCATGCATAGTAACTATTTTAACTATTTGACTATGATTACCAGTACCATTAGTTCCAGTCGTATTTGCTGGCATTTACACATCCGCGTGTGCTTCGTTTTCCAGCAACTGTTCGAGATTTTTTTTTTTTTTTTTCAAAATTGTGTCCGTTTGGGCATATAAAATTGTTAAGTAGTTCAGATACTTGATCAAATAAAGAGAGAAACTACGAATCGCATCGATACATGCATGCACTTTTATATCTCTTTTGTTACGCGAAGTATGCCAGGTAAATTATGCTTCAATTAGGTACCCATATTCATCCAAGATAAAAGATAATATTGAGCTGTAAAATATAGGCTATCATATATATATATATATAGCTTTAAATGTAGAATTCCAGGTTCGATTCGGCTGGTTTCCGGACTTGGTTATAAAGAATTGCCGAAAATCGATAATTATTGGTATTCAATCTGTATTTTTAACCATCATTTGGTATAAAGGCAAACACGGATCAATCAAATTGAGCTTGACGAAACTTAATGTGGCCTAACAAGGTATTCCAAACCTAGCCACACCTGTTTCCATTGAGCAACAGGCCGAAATTAAATATTCTCACTTGATTGACGTGGCAGGGGGATACTTTGTAAATTCTATAAACTCTTGTGGGTTTTCTTTTAATTAAATAAAATGCCAAAGCAGACTTAAAAATATCAATCATAATGATACAATACGAATAAGAAAATGTATTATTTTCCAACCTGGCTAGAACTCAGCCTTGCTCCATCTCTTTCGTTTGTACACAAAATGGTAAAATCCAATCAAAGAATTGTGCATATAGATTTTAAAGCCAGTTAATGGCTGAAACTCGACTCTTTAAAGATAAGCGAAAGAAAATTCATTTGTTTTACTGTACAGTCGTAATTTGGTCTTCCGCCCCTTCAGTTGCTGGCCTTCTGCTGCCACCTTTCTTTCCATCTCACCTATCTCCCTTTCTCTCTCTCTCTCTCTCTCATGCTTTGTCACGCTCCGGCTGCCATTTGCTGTCTCTGTTACTCGCATAAATTGGCAAAATTTTAATTTTCCACTAGATTTGCGTGGATTTTTGGCTCGTGTTTTGTTTGCTCTGTGCCCTTTTTGGTTTGCTTTGATTTTCATACCCAAGCCTTGTGTGTGTATGTGTGTATATTTATTTGTGCATATTGTGTTGACTAAAGAATGCCAACCTAATACGCAGCATTTTACCGGAGATTTTTTTTATATATTGTATATTTTGTTCCTTTCACACCCTTGCATAGGTTATTATTAAATCATCAGTAAATTATGTTACACATAGAACCAGATGTTTCCGACCACATAAAGCAAGAGTCTGTCTGTTCGTCGATTCGTCTGTTCCTTAGTTCTCAGACTATCGTCATGAAACTTTACACGTAGGTATACATAAATCGTATGTCCATAGCATAAAGTTACTAGAAGAACTTTCGGTCTAACATTATGGTAAAGTTTTTCAAATATCTTGGCCAGGAACTTGATGTTCATAAGTTTATCAAATCAATCTATTATATAACATGGCTCAGAGGGTATTGAATCTTCGACGTGCCAAAGATAGGCATGCCCTGTTGTTTGTTCATGGTGTAAGCTCTTTTTGTATTCCTATCGTTATCGACTTCCTTGTTGACAGTGACCAAGTCTCAATAGCATTAGCTTTTGTTATGTCGACATTTGCCTGGTTGTCTTTAAGCCGCCAACGCGGCGTATGATGAATGTTCTTGAGCTCAGAGAGAAAGGGAGAGAGAGCGTCGCGTGCGTAAGGTCAACAGGGGAAGCCGTTCGCCTTGTGGGAACGAATCAATGGCCAAACGAGCTGCCATTGTTCTTAAACGCAGCGACGAGGAGCAGACCAAATGCCATTATATCGTTTGTCTATTTGCATTTGATGCACGCCCCTTCAGCTGGCATCTGATTCAGTTTCCTTTGCCATTCGACTGCTCCACTATTCCACTTATTGCACTCATCAAACAGGGGAATGTCAAAAATTTGTATCTTACTCTTAATTTGAGCTGGCGACGTGCTCATTCTCGATTTGATTAATTCCAGTGCTCCGCCAAATGAAATGAAAGACTGTGCGCGCTCTGCCTGGTTGCGGGCTGCGGGTTGCGGGCTGCGGGCTGCGGGCTGCGGGCTGGAGGCGCCGCTCGCAACTTGGTCATGATTTATGAATGAGATAAAAAGTCTCAATGGCAAAAGTTTTGCCTGCTCCCCAGCGACTCTGACGCCGCCATCGCCGCCGCCGTCGGCAACAAAAATTATTTTTAGTCAAGCCGTCGGCGCTGTGTGTGTGTTGTGTGTTGTATGTGTTGTGTAAGGGGGTGGCGGGGCCAATGGAGGAGCTGGGCGCAATAAATAACAGTTGGCGCTGGAAAATGATATTCGTGGAAATGATTTGGCAGAGTTAAGGCGCCGAGTCAGTGGCCGCTCAGCCAAATGTTAAATGGGCTCATTAGAAGCGGCAAAATCAAATCAAATTTGCCACCAAGTGGAACCGGTTGCAAATGTGGCGCAAATGTTGCCGCCGTCTGAAGATTAGGACTCGGAATGCAAAGATGGCTGCTTGATGCTTGCAAAACTTTATGTGTAACGGGAATAATGCTTTGACAACCGAGAAGTTTAAAGATAATTACTTAATATGCAACTCAACAATTTGAATGCCAATTTGGGTGCCAGTGAATCGGTGCGTTCTTGATTTTGTTTTTCGTTTCTTGTTTTAAGGGTATGGTTACGGTTGCTATTGCTATTTTCAAGTGTGCATTGCTGTTGTTGTTGTTGTTGTTGCTGATGTTGCTGTTGCTGTTGTTGTTAGAGTTATTGGTTAAGTAGTTCGCTCAATTGCGGTCAAGGACGCGCAACTGCTCCTCGACACATTCGCGACAAGCCTCGTCCAATTCGGTGGCCTGTATATACTTTTGTACGCCATTGAACTCCTTTTTGAGTGCAGCAAAGGAGCTGGAGTAGAGCATCTTGTCCTTGATTTTCGCCTGCATCGGGCACCACAGCATCAAGAATAGCTTCTCCTTCAAGCAAGTGGAGGAGGCGCCCTGGCACTGATGATGGTATGCATAATCGTAGACCGCGTAGCGGCACTCCTCGGGCCCGCCCTTACGCAAATCGTCAAGAAAGTCATCATAGCTGGCATTGCGGCGGCCAACCACCTCCACATTAATTTCGCGCTCCTGCTTGATGGCGAATATAACATAGCGATGCTGCTTTAGTTTGCGTATCTCCTCAAAGATGCCCTTGCACTCCGTTGAAACTTCAATGCCTGAAGCCATTCTGTTGCTGCACGGGTTACTGCCTCTGCGAGCCAGTTGCATGGATTTAACAGGTAGGGCGTTTAACCGGAAGAAAACTCACCGTTTTTAAATTACTGAAGAAATGTGTTTGTGCTTTATTTTAAATTTGTGTGTTTACTCAAAATTCCTTGAAATTTCGACTAACTGTACGCTTCGATTCCATTGCTCCCGGAAATGACATTGACGATCAACTGAGAGCCAGCTGTGGGGACTCCAATTTAGAAGCCTACTTTGGTCAAAACAATTGCCCAATCTTTTCTCCAAGAAATTGTTCATAAATGTCATCAAATCATTTTTGATTCTGTGTATGAGCCGAGATGTTTAAGATATTATAAAAATATTTATTTAATAATTTAACAACTTGAACAGCTTCAATTGAATAATATTAAAAGGGATACCAAAGATGGCCAAAGAAGGGATAAAAATGATCTTCTCGAAACGTTTGTGCCCGACAGAATACAGTATCGAAACATATATATGGATATAGTACAGTGAAAACTCTCTTTGGAGGATCGCCACTTTATGGAGCTGGAATTGATGTTGTCCGATTTATAATGCTCGTCCAAGATGTGTGTCTGCCTAATGAAAGTGTCCGTTGGACGAGCTTTCACTGTATAACCATATCAACCTGTGTACGTAAAGGGATAAGAACATCAAATTTTCTATGCGTCAGCGGATGATATTTGAGTATCCATTAGGAGCAGTATGTAGAAGGCTTAGTCGAGCACTCACGACTTAAGCAATCCCATGTGGAAGAAATTGCATTTGTTCGAGTAAATACGTATACGCACATTCGTTAATAAGTTGCTGGCACAATATGCCCAGTGTCCTAATAGGGATGTCAACTGCAATGCATCCCAGAGGATGCTCAAATCAGTTGTCGACAGTGATATGCCCCAGTTAGCCAGGCTGCTGGCGGTCGCGGGCGCTGGCGCGGAAGGAAGTACTGCAATGGCAGCTGCAGCTGCAAATGATGTTTATGTTCACAATTGTTTTGTCGCACACATACACTGAAACACAAAAGTGGTCTAGTCGGGAGTGCCCGATCAGGAGATACTCTATTTAAATTGTGTAGATTTCATTCGCTTTAAATTTGGAGGAATCGTGGGAGCTATTCAAAAATTGTTCCTTATCTGTGTATACTATATACTATACTGTACCTAGCTCTAATAGATAGGGTTATGCTTAAATATCAAGTGTCAAAATCGATTTTTATCGATATTTTGAAAATATGTGGATATATCGAAATAGTTATTAATTTGCGCTGGCAACTGGGAATATATAGTTTGTGTAAGTCAAATTTAAAATCTCTAGCCTTTGGAGTTTCTCAACGTTCACGCGAACATATAAACATAGGGACTCGCTCGTCATCCTGTTCAAAAATATATACACTTAGTGGGGTTGTGCTTCTTTCCGCCTGTTACATTTGGACAAATCGTTAATACCTTTATTTTAACTATTCCATGGTTTAAAAAGGTATGTTTAAATTTGTTTTGCTTTAAAACACTGTCAATGAGGGAGCTCATGCTGTGTGCGTGTTAAAGCTTAGGCGTTGGCGGGGAGGGGCGGATCAGAGCTTTTTGTCACTTAAATTCAATATATTTTTGCCCCATGCATATTTAAGCGTGCTTCTTTGTAATCAACGTGCGTGGCTCATACACGTATTGTATGCCATTAACAGCCACACCAATTTGCCAGCGCCAATGCGAAATTTGAGAATCTCGGAGGGCGGCTGTAGAAGAAAGGCACAGCCATGTGGGCCGTAAATTAAATACAAAATAAAGTAAAATACACTTGAGGCAGCCAGCCGGGGCGAGCGCACAGCAAGTGCCACAAAAAATAACAAATACGAAAAACCAAATGAGAATGCCATAGTCGGGAGTGCTCGACACGCAGATACTCTGTAAACAACATTTTTTTCAATTGCAAATATCTTATGTCTTCGATATTTAGAAGGTTTTAGTGCATTTTCATTTGATGCTGAAGTATATTCAAACAAGTTGGTGAGTAAAATGGTTATTTTGCTTTGAATATCTTATTTTCCTAAGATCCACTCAGATTCCTTTAATTATAGCTGTCATCCTTATAAAACATACCAGAATATCTCTTCACTACTTAATAACTTTTTGATCTTTTTAGTCTTAATATGCCTTAGTCTAAATAAATAACTAATGTTTTCTTCAGACCAATGAGACACGCTCGTATATAGACGAGAGGTCGTCTAGTATCAGAGCCGTCTTTATCTGGGCTGTCACATACATACATTAGCTTGTTTTGATGACAGCCTTTTTTAAACCATTTTATGGCTACAGGGTAAACAAGATGAATAACAAGAAGAAACAATACTGAGTTGAAAGGCCGTGTGCTCGTGGGGTATGCCACAGCCACAATATACCCTCTACAAGCATCGAGTCGCTTCTTAAATATACTCAAATCAAATTGAATGGAACTCAATTGTTATTTGATTCGAGAATTCTTAGAAAATATAATTCAACTAGTTCGATTGCCTGAAAACTTTGTTGAGCATTGCATTTCTTTTAGTTGCTGAGCGACAAAAGTAATGCCAGTCCATTAAGTTGGGTTTTAGCTACATTACAGGGTATTGCGCGAAATGGCAATGGGGAGGACAACAACAAGTTATGGGTATTAAAGACCGCGAGCTGCTAAGCCGCCCTGCGGCCAATGTTCAGCGGAGATTTCGTTTTTATTACGCGTAAATGAAAGACATTTGTTGTCGAATGTCGTGTAGGCTGACAGAACGTGCGCCCGGATGGGTGAGCTCGTGAGGGTGAGGGTATTCAAAGTAGGTAATGAGGCTGGATTTTTCCCGCCGCCCGCTGTGTGCCCAGTTTCTCGCATTAAAACTGCGCGATTAAAATCGGTTTACGTCCGTCCATCGCCCAGCTCGGACTGAAGACAGTCAAAAATGACCAGCGATCAGGATACGGGAGGAAGGGCGAACGGGGGGACTGGTTTCATAATGTTTTACTCGAAACTTAAATGCGAATGATTAACAAATAACATAATCGAAGCATCCATTGGGACGAGCACAGACCCATTGGGAGGAAAAAAGCAATGCGTTGACTGGCGTGTTGTTTGGTGTTGCTGGGTTTTTAATTAATTATGCTGGCATTATTCATGAGTCTTTTGCTAATGAACCCAAGTATCAGCCGAAACAGCCGCAGCCCCAGGCGGACGCAGAGGCAGAGGCAGAGGCCGCGGCCGAGGCACAGGACCAGCCACCTTCAAGGCAAAAGTTCACTTGAGTTTAATTGATTTTGGGCCATTTGTTTTAAGCAACTGCAAATACAAAGTCAAGTACAACAATACAAATGATACATTTCCGCACATGCTGGCGGTAGGCGTCGCCTATGGGCGTGGTATGGCTGCGGGGCTCCACCTTCAGTTCAACTGTTTAGCATGGGGAACTCGAACCTCTTTAGTTGGCAAACACAGCTTAAAATTCGTTTTTGTAATTAGATTTAAGTAATTGAAAGTCGGATGGCTGCCAGAAATAAATGTGAATATTTAATAAAAATTCCAACTGAAGAAGTAATCCTTGATGACACACTTAATGACACGTCGTTAACCGCGTTAAATTATCAATTAGATTAAGCTATGCCTTGAAAAACGTCATATAAATCTATATAAAAAAAACGCTCGAAGACAATGTAGCTGACCTGTCATGCAAAGTGTCCAGACCTTCATCTTTTGTAAGAATATCATATTAGTGTACCTGCAATTCAGACTGGGAATTGCCGCAAGCCTATTCCCATTTCGACACATAATAAATGTAGCTTGAATTGATAGATGGGTACCTGCAACATCTGCAAGTGCCGCACGTGGCAGCCACGAGTTAAAATGGTCATCCCCACAGGCTGCCACACGAACATTCACACATATTATTGCTGCTGATGATGTGCCGCACAAAAAAAAAGAAATAAAAAAAAAAATTAGAAATCGAGTCTAGGTAAAGTTTTTCTTTTGCTACCTTGAAAAGTCTCAACGACGACTTAGCCGATGAAAAGTTTGTGCGACAGCAAAATAAAAGAGCAAAGTTTACCGTAAAAGTTGAGCGCATGGCAAATGACACCTGGGCAACTTCTCGGGAAATGGCTGAAACAAAAAGAAAAATGGCGGAATCGGCATGAAAATGGCAATGGGCTGGAATGCATGCTGCACACACACGTGCATGCCCGAGCATACGTGTGTGTAATGGACGCAATGGTGCAGTCGTGTGGCAAATTTACTTACTTGTTGCCACTTTACAACACTTTTCTTTGGTTATTTGTTGCTGTTCTCCGCAGCTCTGACTCTGCTCCCGCCACTGTCACCTGTGGCATAATTAATACCAACATTGTTCGGCTTGCCGTGTGCAAATAACTTACAATAACAGCAACAGTTGCCTGAGTGCATTGCAAATGGCTAAAAGGCTGTAAAAAGCCGTGTAAATAAATATAACGGAGGCATCCCACCACATTCTTGACTTTAAAGTTTCGAATCGGTTCTTCCTTTCGATATTTATTAATGAGCTTATTAAGAACATTTCGGAGAAAATAAAATCTGGCTAACATTCAGATTGGATTCAAGCAATATGTTTTATTTTTGTAATATATTTTCATAAGATCCTACTAAAGGGATGTATATCTCTCAAACGAATGATAGTTCCAAATTAGTTGAACTTTTGTATAAAAACACATCTGCAATGGTATTTAAGCTTCGACAGTCTGAAGAAAATGATTTATTCTTAATAAATTTAATAAAATTTGATTTAATTTTTAATTTGCATTAATTTTTGACATTAAAATGTGACGTTTTAATGCGGTTTAATTGCATTTACCCGAGTAAATTCGATGCTACAGATCAAAGTGAATAAATTATGAGAGCTGCTCATGATTTATCCAAGGTAATTGGCTGCGCATGCCACAGGAAATGCGATAAGGAGCGGGACGCGTTTCGAACAGCGCCCAAGGCGAAGACACGGCAAATGGGTGATAAATTTCGATTTTCAGTTCGTGACACAAACGCAATGTTGTCAGCCGCGTGCCACCTGCGATGCGGCATGAAGCCATCTGCCATCTGAGACGGGCCCCTTTGTCAATTTTTCTTTTGTGCTGAGCCATGTCAAAGCGGCTTCCGTTTCCGTGGCACATAAACGTAAGTGTAATCGAAACAATGCCAACAACAACAATGTCGGCGATGATCAGTGCACATTCCGGGGCATCAATTCTGCTCGATGAGCTCATGAATGGAATAGGCCTTGGCTTCAGCCTTTGCTTTGGCCTTTGCTTTGGCCTTGGCACCGGAATGCCATCACACAAGTGTCAAAGCTGCAACGGTGCGTATGAGTTATTTTCAAATAAGTATACACACAGTTGCCCATTGAGGGCGTGCATAGTGCAATGTCAAGCTGTGGAAAACTCAAATATTTGTTGTTGGCCAATTCATCAAAAGAACTGTCCAACAACTCAATCAGCAGCTTGAGTTAGTTCCATGCTAGTCCCGATAAGCTCTTGCATTTACCTCGGCCTTTCTTAATTGCAATTCTATTCAGGGTGAGTTGCCAACCCCAATTCAATCCCATTATTCGGCCACTTGGCCCCCTCAACTTTGGTAATTGCTTTTCGATGCATGTTGTCATCAGCTAGTTGCCTGCTGGTAATTGCCAAACCCCAAAGTCTCTCGGTTGCCAACTATAAATTGCAATTCAACTCATATTTATTCCTTTTCTGGCCACATTGAGCCTTTCAGATTGCGTTGCACTAAGCCAAAACTTCTGCAGTTATTACATGTCGGCTAATTTATTTGCCTTCCGTTCAAATAAGCTAAGCTATAAGCCAGAACGTGCAGCTCTTGTTCTGTGTTTTGCCAAATATTGTCCAACGTGCATGTGGGCGTTGTTATTTTGGCTGTTGAATAACGCATTAGCTAATGACGTAGTAGCTGCTCTACGTTACGTTATTCAACGTTAGTCAACGTGACTTTTCCCTCTAACAGTGCTAATGAGTTTATGTGAATTCACATAAGCGCAACTTAATTATTTATTATAAGTAACAAGAGATTTTATATGTGATTTGGGAAAATCGAACCAATCTTCATATAAATACTACATTTCCATGGAAACCCGATTTCCATGTCAAAGAGCCCAGATGTGTTTAATAATTGCCCTCGTGACGGAAATAGATTAGTAATATTTATTAGAAGACCTTTGTTTTGTTTTGATATACATTGAAACTAACTGAAGCTAAATTTTTACAGCAGTTAACTCTAGCGAAGTAAGCGAATAGCCCAAGCAAAACAACACTGCGTGGAACTGGGTGATAAAGTTCCCGGACAATGCCGGTTAACGGCTGCTAGTATATTTTTTATGTTTGTTCATAATTGGTGTGTCATACGATTGCCATTAGGCATAAGACCTTAAGAACTTGCCTCCGTTCATAATAACTGAATGCAAAAACAACAGAGCGGCAAATGTGTGTGTTAACACAAGTTAATGCTTCATAAAATACTTAAAAACACTCAGCGCTAACATTTGCATTATCCAAGGTTTATATTTAAGTATATTGCCAAACAACTTCCCTTTCATTAGCATACATACAAAAAAAAAAATGATTTTTAAAATGACTAGAAGATACCCTATACTCCGCGCCGAGTCGCCTTCACAAACATTCTAGCTTAGCTCTATACAAAAAGACAAAAACACACACACATGTACTCTGAGGTTGTTCTTCCTTAGTCCTGAAACTATGGGAATGCTTTCTTGATTAACTTCGGTGTCCGGTTGTCCGATCTTTATGAAATTTTCAGTGCATAAAAAGGGCACTCAACTATGTTTATATGCCAAATAGAGGGGCTTTAGCTGACAACCTGTAAGTTACAGAGAAATATTCCTAATACATTGGCTCGTTAGCTTAAAATACTTTTAAAGCCTGTTGTTCAGAGCTGCACAAGTTTTGACTTCCCCTTTTTAGACAATTTCATGAATACAGGGTATAAGGGGAGTTCTGTGCTGTTCGTTCGCCTGCGTCCTTTGTAGCAGCTAATCAAAATTTTACGGCTCTTGTGCAATTAAAGTCGCAACACGGAGGCCAGGTCGGGGCCTCTCATTTGTATTCATAGCGCTTATACACACACCTACACACCATATTATTTGGCACCATATTATGAGGATACCCTTCAATTGTTTACATTTTGGTGACACCTTGCAGGATATTTACAAACCACATTTAGTAAAGTAAATATTTCAAAATATATTCTGGCAGTCGTCAATGTCTTAGATATTTGTTCTGACAAGGCCTAATTTAGGTGTTTCTTAAGTTTGCCGTCACTTTTCAAGTGTGTTTGCCATAGTTCTCAACTGTGTGATCAGTTTTGAACAGGATATGATATGCAGGGTATGTAAGCTTTAGCACGTCGATAATTCTAACATTTTGTTATTATTATTCAGCCTTTCAACATTTCTCGCATGCAAATGAAGCACCTCAGAAAGTGACACAGGAGTTTTTGTTTACTTATGACAAGGCAAAAACCAAATATAACAAAAAATGTTTTAACACATTTTTCTGAAAATGCTCGATAGGAAGATACATTGAACCATCTAAAATATAGATTCAGATTATTTCTAAAATATTTTTTATGCAAAGATAATGTTGAGGAAATACTTTAATTTAAGTTTTATTAAATTAAATTATACTATATACATTTTTAAAGAAAAAATTCTCTAAGCTTACTTTAAACTTAAGAAGGTAGCATGATAATGATATGATAATATTATAAGAATTTGTTGCTACGCCATCTTCATTTTATTTTATTTTTTTTTAAATATTCAAGAGTCCATTCAAAGCCCTGTTTTAAATACAAACGCCAAAGAGACAAAGAGACACTGAAATCAGAGGGAATCTAATGTGGATGTATTATTTTTTAATTAAGTAAGCCGTAAAGCCAATAACTGTCTTCTGTCTTCTGTTTTCTGTCTGCTGTCTGGCCTGGTCATGGATTCCAATGCGATGCGGAGCATGGCACGCGGCAAGTGGCAAGTGGAGCATGCACGTACATCCTGCTGTCAAGCGAATGCTAATGCCCTTCGCGGCGGCTTTTGGGACAAAGAGCAGCCGACAGCCGGTAGCCGGCACCCGATCTCCTGCAACGTGCTCCCAACTTTCGACAACACGCACGCAGTTTGCATATTTGCGCATCATTTTGGATCTTACAAGAGGGACTGGCCAGGATGCCGAACGTTGCCCAAGGATGCCCAGGATACCTTGGATCTGAGGAAATTGCAGTGCGTGCTTAATTTATGGCACCAAATCGGCGCTCAAACTGAAACTGTAATTAGTTGTGATGAGCAGCAGCTACATTTACATCTACGTCGATTACTCTTCATTCCGCATGCCGCTTGCCGCATGCCACATGTCACACGCCACATGCCACACGCCACACGCCACATGCCACAGGCCACAAGCCATATCTGCCTGTCGCTCATCGCATTGGGCATACGGAAATTTGAGGTGTGCATGTCAGCGAGCCATTGTCGCGCAATTAACCAAACAATTAATCAAGATGCAGGCAGCTCGCAGCTTTAAGCAAAATACATTTAATTTTATCGTTGCTGAAAACATTTTCCGCGCGCTCTGCCAAGCGGAAAAACGCAAGTCAAGTGTCATATGCTAAATTGGGGGCGGGCTAGCGGAGGGTACTCTGTGTGTGTGTGTGTGTGCCTAAAGTTGAGCTGCTTGTAAAGCTTTCATGTGTGTGTATTAATTAAAAATATTTTCTTGCCTTTGCCTTTGACGGTTATTTGAAATTTTTGCCTTTGAAAGTTTTGCCTGAAGTGTTTCATAAATCATGCTTTCCCCCGCATAATCCGTCCACTGCGGTTCCGTCTCATTTGGCAGTGCCCGAGAATTAATGAAATCACGGATAATTGAAATTGCAAGAAACTACTAGGAATACTCTTGTCAAATGTGTCCGACTATGAGATATTCTGTATAAATATTGATATTCAAATATGTGAATATTAATAGCGCTAGGCAATATCAGTTGATGAGGTATATATTTTTTTAAATATAATAAATGTAAATTGGCTGCCTTAGCATAACTGAGACTACTGCAAGTAGTTGAAGTGCTGGCTGCTGTCAATTGCTTGAATTCTCACAGCCAGTTTTGTGTACCCACTTTCATTGGAGGCAGAATAAAATAAGTAAATTATTCATGAAAAGTTGATACGGATAGTGCAGAATGGAAGAAAATGGGCATAATGAAGTTTATTGCATTGAGTGCAACATGAAAAACGATTTCGTTCCTGCTGTGTCCTCGTTGTCGTTTATGCTAGAACAATGTCACCTCATTAAGTCTTCAAATCTTATATCCGGCTGTTTCCCGCCGCAGGGTCACGTTGCTCTTTGTCATTACTCAAGCAGCCAGTAAAATCCATCATACGCCATGCTGTCAGGCCTGAACAAAAGAAAACTCCTGACAGTTAAAAATCAGAAAAAGTGCTGTTGATTTCACTTGTGAGACTTGAAAGTTGGTCAATGGCACAGATGAGCTCAATAACAA